ACTCTACAAAGAACTAGCTTTAGGATTTGGGGATGTAGGAGATGAAGAGCCTAGTTCTGAATTTGTACTTTCCAAGGTTGCAGAAGGATGAGGATGTGCGCTGGCTTGCTGGTGCTAACGCGAGCTGGGCGTGCGTCTGGCTGGTGACGCAATTGTTAATGTTGTCATATTTGATGAAAGCTTAAAAGTGTATGAATGAAAGTGGAGAAATCGTTTATGATAAAAAACAGCTCGTAGAGACCAGAATTGAGAATAGAGGTAGTAAAAGTCAGGGCTTTGAGTGTTCTTACCTCAACCAACCGGGTGGCAGTTATGCGCGAGCGCACATAATCACTCTGTCTCTCTTTTCGCCTACCAACTATCCGCTTTTCCTCTCTACTCTTTTACTCCTAATTGGCTCTTCCACCAATTCCGCATTGGGCTGCCAGGGCGTACAGAAATCGCGATTGGCTTAATCAATCCACCGGCCAGAAGATGAGACTGGTTGACCACTGGTAGGTGAGCTCTCTCGGCCTGGACTGAATGAAAGACCCTGACGTTCAAGACCCCGTATCGAAGCCAGCTGAACAGCATGGACAAACTGCGTTGCCGACTCGTGGTACAGCCTTTAAGGGGGTGCTAATAGAGGGAAAGAGAGATTCCAACATGTCTGGACCAGTTTCGGTAGCATCGCGAAAATGTTTTTTTATGATTTGCTAATTAGGAGGTTTTCGCGGCTACCAGTAAGTCATTTATAAGTGAAGTGTATTTATAGAAGTGGGTTGACCTCGTTGTCGCAACTTGGTCTTGTTGTCAGGGCGAATTAGCAGAACGCAGCTAGTCCGAAGTCGTCTGCCATAGTAGTTGTCATGATTCCCAGCCTCAGACAGTGGATTTGGTACATTCGCAAACGTAGTGGGCGTCATCAGTAAGTTTTGTCATTCGCTCCACCAAGCTACGAACTCGTCAAAGAGGCAAGTGATGTCAATCCTTCCAGCAACATGAGACGCTCTGCTCGGTGACGCGGCAATATACGTGCTTCTGGGGCCTTGAGAAATAGCGACAGGAGTGAGACGCACACTGGGACTGGAAACGAGTGAACTCAGTCAACCAGAAAGATAGGAACGGATCTACGGGACAATGAGGGGATCCGGATTTGAGGCCCGAGTCGGATTAGCCGATCAAAGGAGAGGGTGAATGGTAGGTGTGATACGGCCACACTAGATTTGCCACGAAAGAGCATACATTTTGACGAGTGAAATGTAAACAAGTAAGGAGTGGTGATAGGGCGAGAGTTGGATAAGAGGGTAAAGGCTAGACAGAAAGAGGAGTGATAGTGTAACCGTTTCGGTAGAACGTTTGTCGAGGCATTGACTTCACTTGTCTCTTTGACGAGTTCGTCGCTTGGTGCGGAGAATGGATCACATTCTTACAAAAGCGTAAAAAGGGTCAATGGGCCTTTGTCTGTATGGCATATATATTCACACCAAAAAACAGTATAGATAGCTATGAAATGACCTGTTTAGTTATTGGTAATGTTAATTTGTATACTTGTGGGTTTGTTTGTGTGAGTTATTAGCCATAACTCTGAGTAACGCTAGTCTTGAATCATAAAAATGTAATGTCCCGATGAAGGATATGACTGGAAATATGCAATCGTGTGCTTAAGGTCCAAATTATGGTCAAAACTTTTACTCATCCTATTACTCGTCAAAAAGACAAGTCTTGTCGAGTTCGTAGCTTGGTACGGAGAATGACAAAACTCATTGATAATGCCGACTACGATGCCGGAGAAATGTCTGAGAATATACCAAGTCCACTGTCTGATGCTGGAAATTATGACAACTACTATGGCAGACCACTTCGGACTAGGTGAGTTCTACTAAGTCGCCCTGACAACGAGACCAAGTTGCGACAACAAGTTCAAGCCACTTCTATAAATCGAAAGAAGACTGCGATCATACCAGAGGCTAGACCATCTTGGCCTTTATATCTGAAATATATTTACCCTATTTTGTTTTAGGTGATATGTGACTGGTAGTTGTATTTTTCCTCAATGCTACGAGTAGAACCTACATTTCCATTGAATTGCACATAGTCATCAGCCTCAGCGGGACTCGAATCATGACACATGTAGAGATTATACTTTGCACTGTTCCATGGTTCGAGACCCGCCGGGGCTGCTGATAAGACCTAGAAGAGGTCGAGACTGGAGTCCACTATAGATTAGAATATCTTATGGGAAAGCAAGGCTATGTAAAATTCAATGGAAATGTGAGGTCTACTCATATCATCATGGAAATATTAAGCTACCACTCCACACATCACCCTAAGCCAAAAAGGGTGCATACATTTCATATACACTGTCTTTTGCCAGTTGCTAGGTCATGGATACCATAAAAGTGAGTATTGTCGATATGCCCAATTTTCGTATGACGTTGCAAAAAATGCTATTGCTTTTATCGACGGATAGAAGGTTACAATCACCATCAGCTGCGCAAACGGTACATTTTGACAACATGGAAAATGTATATGCAAATG